TGGCTTTCAATGTGACAAAAAGCTATTTCTATTTATTTTTGTATTCTCTCTATTTTTCACCAGTTTGTTTTTATCAAAAAATTGTAATCAATATTTTTGATTTTTCAATTTAATTTCAATATTAGTTCTAAGTAAATAAAGGTTTTGTTATAGGTACAACATGTTGAGTATATGACCGCATTTGAGGAGAAGATCAAATGTCTTGAGAAGGAATTGCAAGAAGCGAAAGCGAAAATCGAGCAAGATAGACAGGTAAACAACTTTGCTTTAACTGCCCTACTTGGAAGATTTCACATTCCTAAATGTGGGAAAGAATATGCTGCGAAAGCTGCAAAAACTGAAATGGGACCGAACGCACGCAAACTTATGTGCTCATCGATTCTGCCCTAGCGCTTCAGCATTGGAAAGGATTAAAAGATTACGGATTGGTTTCAGTTCGCAGCTTTGGTACAAATTGAGCTTTTTTTAGGAAAAGAAGAAACTCAAGTTAGCGCTGAAACAAATGCGAGACAAAGAGAAGGCTAAGGCCGAGTCGGTGCAAGTTTTGCCAACTCTGACCGAGGTCCAGGAGACGGCGGTCACTCAGGAATCGATGCAAAGCGCAGCTGCCCAGCCGCAAACCGGCGAAGAGATGGAGAAACTGAGAAGTAGCGTGAAGGTTAGAAGGGAATCTCCCTTTGATTTGATCACTTTTGAGCTTGAACTTAGGAATTGGAGCTTGAGAATCGCCTTTCTCGCGAGCTAAACTCTGAATACAACCATACAATGCTTGAAATGGAAAAGGAAGTGATCGCTTTGAAAGCACAAGTCACCTCTTTGCAAGGGGAAACGCAGCATTTTGAAATGGAATTGAAATTGCATGAAATGCTCGAAGAGGAACTTGAAAAAGAGTTGTCTGAAGCTCGTCAGAAGAATCAGGTTTGCAACTTCGTTACCGAGCACTGCAGAGTGGGTCTTTTTTATAAAAATTTTGGAAAATCCAATTTTCAGGAGCTGACCGAAGCAGTGCGAGCTCATGAAGATTCAGTGGAACATCACGATGAGCAAGTGAATGATGAAACGAATGAGCAGAACCGACTAGAAGGTGAGTAGATGTTGTGAGATTTGATGGTGGGTCTGGATTTTTTGGGAAGTGTATCACTTTTCTCGCTTCTTCGGAAAGCTTACTGGCTTACTGTTTCTATCAATGATATTTTCTACTGGTAGGTAAAAGGCGATGGATAATCTCTATATGTTCATTACTTTTGCATCTGAGGTCATCGCTGCTGCAAAATGTGCTTGCACTTTTGATTCATTGTCTTGGAACAAACAATGCGCGT